AATAAATAAATAAAGGGAAAAAAATTGTTAGCATCGGAATCTTCAAACCATTTTATGGGCTTCGGATACATTCCCATATCTTGCTTTGAGAAACCTCACCAAATTCTCAGTTGGGTAACCTTGATGTATATTCTGTACATGAAGACAAGAAAATTATAGTCTGATCATTATTTACTCTGAACTTCAAAATGTAAAATAATCTGTGTAAGGTTGCAGAAAAGATACAAAAATGATTTTCATCTTAATTTCAAAAAATGTACTTGCAAGGAAAAGCCCAAATAATGATTATTTTGATTTGCAAGAAATATCCAAGAAGCTAAGAATAAGACCACTCAAGCACTAGCCAACAACAAAGATCAAGCAAATTGTGAAAATAATCGTTCTCATTCCATCAAATAAAAATCTAAGATTGAAGCAGCTCTTTGACTATTCCATTTCCCCAATCAAGCCAAAAATGAACGAATATGATAAGAAACAAGTACTGGGACTTTTACAAGTATAAACCCAAGTCAACAATCACTTCAAGTACGTGGATCAAACTGCAATCCAAAAGGATCAATTTTTTTTTCTTAATTCAATAAAAGCACAGGACAGAAGTAAAAATGGCAAACCTGGAAAGACCGCTTCAGTGGTTCGTCAACTGCAATCAAAATCAAAATAAATAACTAAAAAAAAAAAATAGTTCTTGAGAGATCAAAAATTCAAAATAGACTCGAATGTAACAAGAAAATGACCTTTTTCTAACAGAGTCTGAAACTGCAGGATCATATCTTCTGTTATGAACTCCATTTTTCACTCAAAAATTGTGTGGATTTATAATCCCAGATTATAAATGTCAGCTCTCCCTTAGAATATATAAACTGTGTCCGCGTTTATGCGTGTGGGGTCGGGTGTGGGGGGTTGAAGCGGACAGGAGAGTGACGCTTGTGAAAATATGGGCCTCTGTACCTTTAGAACACGAAGACATTTTGATTGTCCTTTTTCTATTATTTTTAGGTCAATTAGGTTATTTGTACAAAAATTATTTATCGTGCTTGTTTATAGATATTGACGT